AGGAGACAGCAAACAACGTGCAAGAAGAAGAAGTCAGAGGCACATTGATGTTGTCACATCAAGGAGATGAGAAACCGAAAGACAACATGTGGTATCTGGATAATGCAGCAAGCAACCACATGTGTGGAAAAAGAAACATGTTCGTGGATATGGATGAATCAGTGAAAGGAAATGTCGTATTTGGAGACTCCTCGAAGGTTCCTATCAAAGGCAGAGGAACTATACTCATCCGACTCAAGAATGGCTCACAGCAATTTATCAGTGATGTGTACTATGTCCCGGACATGACTAGTAACATCCTGAGTTTGGGTCAATTGATGGAGAAGAATTATGAAGTCCACATGGTGAATCGTCAATTAGAGCTGTTAAATGAGAAGAAGCAGTTGTTGGCCAAAGTCCCAATGTCGAGAAACAGAATGTTCACCCTGAACATTCAGACTGAAATGGCGAAGTGTTTGAAAGCATGCGTGAAAGACACTACATGGCTGTGGCATTTGAGGTATGGCCATCTGAATTTTGGAGGCCTAAAGTTACTCGGTCAGAAGAAGATGGTGCATGGTTTACCAGTGATCAATCATCCAGACCAGTTGTGTGAAGGATGCTTAGTTGGGAAGCAATTCAGGGCAAGTTTCCCAAAGGAGTCCCTGTCACGAGCTAAAGCACCACTTGAGCTCGTCCATGCAGATCTCTGTGGACCGATCACCCCAACATCGTTCGGGAAGAACAAATACTTCCTATTGTTCATTGATGATTACAGTAGAAAGACATGGGTATACTTCTTAAAGCAGAAGTCAGACACATTTGAAGCTTTCAAGAAGTTCAAGATGCTCGTGGAGAATGAAAGTGGCCGCTACATAAAAGCAATGAGATCAGATAGAGGTGGAGAATTTATGCTCAAGAAGTTTAGAAGGTTCTGTGAATATCAAGGAATTCGCAGGTTTCTCACAGTCCCAAGATCCCCACAGCAAAATGGAGTTGTTGAGAGGAAGAACAGAACTGTCCTCAACATGGCGAGAAGCATGATGAAGAGCAAGAACCTGCCAAAGGAGCTATGGGCTGAGGCTGTTGATTGTGCAGTCTACCTGCTGAATAGGTCACCAACAAAGAGTGTTTGGAATCAAACACCCCAAGAAGCATGGAGCGGAAGGAAACCCACAATCTCTCACCTCCGAGTTTTCGGAAGTGTCGGATATGTGCACGTACCGGATCAAGAAAGGAAGAAGTTGGATGACAAAAGCAAGAAGTACATATTCCTGGGATACTCAGAACACTCAAAAGGTTACAAAATGTTTGATCCCGTGGAAGAGAAGCTGATCATCAGCAGAGACGTGGTGGTTGATGAAAAAGCAACATGGGACTGGACCGCTGAAGCAAAGAAAAATTACACTTTTTATCCATTCACTATGGATGAAAGTGATGATGAACCAGACACAGCTACACCTGTGACAAGTCCACCCAGTCACAGAGAGCCTGCTAGCCCAGAAGGAGAATCGAGTGAAAGTCCAAAAGAAAGGCCACAGAAGTATAGAAGACTTGAAGATCTATATGAGGAAACTACAACCATTGAAGGTGATGAATTGACACTATACTGTCATTTCATTGATGATGAACCAGTGTATGCTGAAGAAGCCATGAAGGATGAAAAATGGAAGAAAGCTATGGATGAAGAAATTGGAGCAATTGTGAAGAACAAGACTTGGGAGCTTGTTTCGCTACCTGAGAACCAGAAGCCCATCGATGTGAAGTGGGTATTCAAGGCCAAGAAAAATGCTAAAGGAGAAGTCGTCAGACACAAAGCAAGGTTGGTGGTAAAAGGATACAGTCAGAGACCAAGCATTGACTACAATGAAGTATTTGCTCCCGTGGCGAGAATGGAGAGTATCAGGATGGTGATATCTCTCGCTGCTCAAAATGGATGGAAGATACATCAGATGGATGTGAAGTCAGCTTTTCTGAATGGATATCTCGAGGAAGATATCTATATTGAGCAACCACCTGGATATATCGTCGAAGGCCAAGAAGATAAGGTGTTGAAGCTGAAAAAGGCACTGTATAGTCTGAAACAAGCACCGAGAGCGTGGAATAGCAGAATTGACAAGTATTTTCAGGAAAATGGGTTCAGCAAATGCCCACATGAGCATGCACTATACTGCAAGGTGCAAGGGGGAGCAATATTGATGGTTTGCCTATATGTAGATGATCTCATCTTCACAGGCAATGATCCTCAAATGTTTGAAGAGTTTAAGAAGACAATGGTTCGTGAGTTCGAGATGACAGACATCGGACTAATGTCATACTATCTCGGAATAGAAGTAAGTCAAAAGGAGGAAGGAATTTTCATCTCACAGAGTGGCTTCGCAAAGGAGGTCCTGAAGAAGTTTAAGATGGAGAGCTGTAATCCTGTGAGCACACCAGCAGAGTGCGGATTAAAGTTATCCAAGGATGATAAAAGAGAGAAGGTAAACTCAACGGAGTTTAGAAGTCTTGTGGGAAGTCTGAGATATCTGACTTGTACCAGACCAGATATTCTCTACGCAGTTGGATTAGTCAGCAGATACATGGAGGTGCCAACTATGTCACACTGGAACGCTGCCAAGAGGATATTGCGCTATATAAAAGGTACAATCGATCATGGTTTGCTCTATACTAAGTCAGAAAATTTCAAATTGGTTGGATACTGCGATAGTGATTGGGCAGGAGACGTCGATGATCGCAAGAGCACTACAGGATTTGTATTTTTCCTGGAAGCAAGCAATCGTGACACTGTCAACTTGTGAAGCTGAGTATGTTGCTGCGACATCGTGTGCGTGTCATGCGATATGGCTGAGAAAGTTACTAAAGGAGTTGAATATGACACAAGAAGAGTCAACTGAGATTTATGTTGATAACAAGTCTGCCCTGGCGTTAGCAAAGAATCCGGTGTTTCATGATCGCAGTAAGCACATTGATACGAGATATCATTTCTTGAGAGAATGCGTGGAGCAGAAAGAAGTTATGCTGAAGTATGTGAAAACTGAAGACCAGATTGCTGATATTTTCACGAAGCCACTGAAGCAAGATGTGTTCGTCAAGATGAGGACGCTACTCGGAGTTACAATGAATTAAACTTTAAGGGGGAGTGTTGAAATTAAAATAAAGTTTAATTATTGAAATAAAGCTGAAATATCAGAAAAGCCTAGAAGGGAGCTACTGGATTACGTTGGTTTGCTGAAGAAAAATCTAGAGATGGGTAGGTTTGAATTTAAGTAGGTAGTTGCAGGATTGTTGAATAAAGAAATAAAAAAAAAATATATGCACCAGAAGTTTAAGGCGGTGGCTTTGATATTTTGCCAATGAAGAGGCTATAAATACCCATGTAATACTTGGCGTTTGTGTAGCAGTGCAGAGAGCAAAAGAAAGAAAGAAGCAAAAGCAATAAAAGCCTCCATCCCTTCTCCAATCAGAAAATCCCATGCCTAGTTCCTTGTCCCATTCTTCAAATTAAACTACAAAACCTTTTCCTTCCCAAACAACAACACGTGCCCACCAAATTCCACCATTAGCTTTCCAAATAGTTAAAGGAAATAATTATATTATTTCCAACAAATAAATCAACTTAAATTCAAAAACACTTATATTAAAAAAATTACAGCCAAGGCAACTCACAAATTCCACCTTTTCCCCTTCACTTCCCCAGGCCCATTAACAATTCCATAAACCCTTTCTTCTTCCTCTCCACCGCCCAGACTACTTCCACTTTTCTAGAGCCCCTACAGCCCCAACTTCCACAACGGCAAGGAGCCTCACTCCCACTCCTCCGTCGGACACCACTAACTCACAGATACTAACAGAGACGACCAGAAAGAGTGCTAACGGTCGCTGTCGAGTGCTAACGGTCGACGCCGAGGAGACGCAGAGGAGACGACTCCGCCGACCTGGAGCGCTCCTGCCGATTGCAAAGGATCGATTCTGGCGACCTAATTGAAGCAACAGCGAGTTCGGGAGAGGAAGGAAGAGGCGGACTGACGGAAAGAAGGAAGAAGAGTAGTCTAGGGTTTCGGATTTGCTCTTCCATCTGCAGCCAAAATCCCGAAACGACACAACACTAAAAGCAATGCCTACTGACCCACACTCACGGTCCAACCGTCCGGGTTTTCCAGATTTGACCGAATCCGGGCAGAAACTCTAGTGGGCAGCTAACGCCGTTTTCATTGACGAGTCTGGGTCAAACCGAATCAACCCACGGGTTGACAATCTTAATTTTGACCTGCAAACCTCCTTTTATTTTGTCTACCAAACTATTTCCTTTTTTTTTATTGTAAAAAAAAAAACTATTTCCTTTTTGAGATATCTCTAAAAAAGCACCATGGGGTAATTTGGATGCAGGTTTTGGGTGTGGGATTTGGGCACAAACCTACATAATGTGGGATTTTATTAAAATCACTCGTTTGGAAAGCAATTATATGATAAGAGATTTTAAATATTAGAGATTTCAGAAACCCACAATTGTGGGATTATGAAATAGCTGATGGTGATCAGCTATTTTAAAATCCCACACAAATCCCACAAATTAAAAACCTGGGTTTTTAGACCAGTGATTTGAGCCAAAATCCCACAAATTAAAAATCTGGATCCAAATGACCCATGTGTATATGTTGCTTTGTTTATTAATTAATTAATTCAACCCCTCATCTAGAGTGCACAGGCACACCCGTAAGTGGGGTACAGCTAGCTACCTGATCCATTCAACTCAAGCGTGCTCAGGTCAGCTCGCTTTATATCCCCTGGTCAAAATCAGACAACCCATCATATTCTCAAAGATGAAAGACCCCTCCTCAAATAAACACCAACCAGAAATGGGATTTTGATTAAACAAAGTTGCAAAAAAGGGGCCACTAATTCAACCATCATTCTTCTCCCCCCACTCCACCCCGCACCCGCAAGGCCGCAATTACAGCGCAGACACAAATGAACCATCAACTGCAGCAGCAGCAACACCAACACCTCCTCCTCCCGCCGCCATGTCCGCCGCCGCCTCCCACCACCACCACCACCTCCTCCTACTCCTCTCCATCCTTCTCCTGAAACTACTCACCCCACCCGCCGCCGTCGCCCAGAACACCACCACCGAACCTTGCCCGCTCGATTTCTCCGTCCTCCGCAACCTCGTCCAGAACGCCAGAATCCCCACCGTCGACCGCACCCAGGCCTGCCAGTACCTCCGCCAGGGCCTTCGCCTCGTCCAGTCCGACTACCTCCGCCGGACCAACGATTTCCTCCCGCCGCTCTCCTCCGCCGAATCCTGCTGGCGCTCTTACCAGCGCCTCGTCGACGACTTCCTCCCCATCCCCAACTTCGACGCCCGCTCCTCCTGCGGCTTCCAGACCAGCTGGATCTCGCAGGGCTGCCTCAACATCACCACGAGGCAGGACTTCGAATCCCAGATCTCGGCATCCGAGCTCGCCAATATCATCTCCAATTGCAATCAGTCGCTGGAGAACCGATCCCCCTGCGGCACCTGCGTCTCGGCTTTGACGACCAACGTCCACAGTTTCAACGGGACTTCCATCGGTCAGATCTCCGATTGCCCTGCTTATCCTTTAATCTACGCCGCTTCGATTGTCAATTCCCTCGGCCCTACCGATAGCGGCACCGCCAGTTGCTTGTTCTTGCTCGATTTCACTTCCAACGCTTCCAATTCCAGCAAGAACTCGAACAAAACCCTAATCCCGGCCGTTGCCGGTGGATGTGCAGGAGGGTTACTGATTCTTGGATTAGGGATATGGCTGGGGAGGAGGAAATGGAAGAAGAAAAAGAAGCAGGAGGTGGAGGAGAAGGAGGAACTGGAAATGGGGTTGGATGCGGGGCTTGTGAAGTTCAAATACGAGGAAATCAAAACGGCGACCAAGAATTTCGCTGTGCAGAACCTTGTAGGGAAAGGAGGGTTCGGAAACGTATACAGAGGTGTATTCCCCGACGGCTCCGAAATCGCGGTGAAGAGGTTCAAGAACTGTTCCGCTTCAGGGGACGAAAGCTTCGCGCACGAGGTGGCCGTGATTGCGAGCATACGCCACGTGAATTTGGTAGCTCTGAAGGGCTACTGTATCGCCACCACTCCGGCAGAAGGTCACCAGAGGATGATCATCTGCGAGTTACTCAAGCACGGGAGCCTCCACGACCACTTGTTCGACGACGGGGGCGGCGGCAATTCGAAGCTGAGCTGGCCGATTCGACGGAAGATCGCACTGGGCACGGCCAGAGGGCTGGCTTACCTGCACACGGGAGCTCAGCCGACGATCATCCACCGTGACATCAAGGCCAGCAACATTCTCCTGGACGACGATTTCGAAGCCAAAGTGGCGGATTTCGGGCTGGCGAAATCGAACCCGGAAGGGGTTTCCCATCTCAGCACCCGCGTGGCTGGGACGTGGGGGTATCTGGCACCCGAGTACGCGCTGTACGGGCAGCTGACGGAGAGGAGCGACGTGTATAGCTACGGCGTGGTGCTCCTCGAGCTTCTGAGCGGGAAGAAGGCGATGCTGAGGAGCGACGATGGCGGCGGCGACGAGGAGGAGAGCCAGAACCAGCCGCGGCTGCTGGCGGATTGGGCTTGGGGGTTGGCGAGGGAAGGGAGGGCGTTGGATGTGGTGGAGGACGGGATGCCGGAGCTAGGTGGAGCTGATGAGTTGGAGAGATATGTGATGGTTGGGATTCTCTGTTCGCACACGGAGCTGCACGCTAGGCCGACGATGGAGCAGGTGGTGAAGATGTTGGAGGCGGATATGGTGGTTCCTGAGATCCCGGCTCGGCCGACGTTTATGGTGAACCCGTTGGATGTTGGGGAGAAGTCGATGGACAGCATGGGGTTTTCTTCTGGTTACGATCGACCATATGAGAGTAGAGCTCGGAGACTGAAAGAAGATGAGTCCGACTCTGCAACTTCAGAATCGTCGTAGCGGCGGCGCTAATCACCACCACTGCTATAAATATGTCGGAAGAGAATTGACAGGAAGTTACCTCTCCCTCTCCGTATGTATGTAAATGAGGGTTTTATTTTTCTTCTGTAATGTGAGGTCCTTGAGGTGAAATATGTGAAGTACACTCGGATTTTTTTCATTCATTGATAAATTGGTTTTGCCGCAGAATCTTTTGTCGTTATTGGAAAGTGTATGCGTAATGCATACGTCTCATATTGTATGTTTCAGTTTCAGGCAGTCTAGAAGGGATGTTCGACATTGCCATTGGTGGCAAAGGTCCAGTCCAGGCCACAAATTACTAAATTAGTGAGACTGAATTCATAAACTAATAACAACCGTACTAGAAACCAACCATCAACAACCCGTATGACAAACAGATGAATAAATGTCATTTCAATGATCTATATTAACAAATTAATCAAATTTATAGTCTAAATTACATGTTTGGTCACTTAAATTACATAAATGTTTCATGTTTGTCGCCCGAATTACTTTTCCTTTTTATTAGTTACTAACTTTACGAATCATTTCATCGTTAGTCACCAACCGTCATACTCCGTTAACATCGTTAGATTTTTCATGACATCGCAAACGGAACTGCTGAGTGGACTGACCGAAAGGCTGAGTTACGCAACTTGACCGCCTTTGTGTGTAATATTTGTTGGTCTCGGATATGAGAATATTTGTTGAAAGCTTGTGAATACTGGTTCGACCCGTTTGAGTACGTATTCATAGGCGTTGAACCAGTATTCAAAAGCGCCAAAAAAGTATACAAAAGAAATATTAGTTTGAAGCTTTTGAATAATGATTCGACCCGTTTGAGTATGCATTCAAAGACGTCGAACAAATATTCAAAAGTGTCGAGCTAGTATTCTTATCTGAGGCCAATAAATATTTCACACAAATGAACACGTATTTAATAGGCATCGAACATGTATTCTAACGCATGGGAGAAGTATTTAGAGCATCTAGACCAATATTGTCATTTGAGATGAAGAGAGAGAGGAAGAAAGTGAAAAACTAAAAAAGAAAAGTGAGTTGATCTATTAAATTGTGGGACCACACCCTCAAAATTTGTTTGGATCCTCTACCTTTTTTCCTTTATTTTCCCAAAATCAATGAATATCAACCCTCCAACTTGGTTGATGGGGATGTGGAGGGAGGGTTACTATTTGCCGCCCGTGTAATTACTATTTGCCGCCCGTAAAAAACACTAAAAAGATAATTTTGCCCTCCAAATTTTTCTTTATATTCTATTCGCTGAAATGGTTTTTTAAACAACATACACACTACCCGAGTCCCGACCACCAACCCCCCACAACCAGATTCACGGCCACCGGACGGCAGCCAAAGTCGCCGGCCACCGGACCAATCTCGTCAGCATAATTCGCCGGGCACTGGACGACAGCCGTACCCCATCGTCGGACCAGCGAAGCAGGTAAACCCCACTGACCTCCTGGATTTTTTTGCCCGTCCGCTCGCCGGCGAGCGGACGGGGTCCTACGCCAGCGAGCGGACGGCGCCCGTCGCCGGGGACCGGATGCATCGTAGTCGGCAGTGTTATATTTTTTTTTAATTTGAGACAGGTTATCATTTCTAGAGCTAATAAATTATATTTAATTTATTGCTTTTATTTCTATTTTACATAGTTAAATTTATATGTACTTTGAATTAAGCGATTGTATTTTGTTGTAGCGCTAATTAGTTTCTTACTGTCAAATTATCGTTATTTTGTAGAGTTAATTAAATTATTGCATGTAGTTTAATTTTGTAGAGTCAATTGAAGCACAATTAGTTTAATTAAGTGATTGTGTTTTGTTGTAGCGCTAATTAGTTTATTGTGTTTAGATATAATTCGTAGAGCTAAAGAAGTTTAATAATTTATATTTAAATAAATTTTTTATCGTCAAATTATCATTATTTTTTAGAGTTAATTAAATTATTGCATTTAGTTTAATTTTGTAGAGTCAGTTGAAGCACAATTAGTTTAATTAAGCGATTGTGTTTTGTTGTAGCGCTAATTAGTTTATTGTGTTTAGATATAATTCGTAGAGCTAAAGAAGTTTAATAATTTATATTTAAATAATTTTCTTATCGTCAGATTATCATTATTTTTTAGAGTTAATTAAATTATTGCATTTAGTTTAATTTTGTAGAGTCAATTGAAGCACAATTAGTTTAATTAAGTGATTGTGTTTTGTTGTAGCGCAAATTAGTTTATTGTGTTTAGATTTAATTCGTAGAGCTAATTTGGTTTAATAATTTATATTTAAATTATCATTATTTTTTAGACTTAATTAAATTATTGCATTTAGTTTAATTTTGTAGAATAATATAATTTGTACATTTCTAACGAGTTGTAAAATCATAATTACAGGTCGACATTGCTGACAATGTTGAACTAATTGGTGATTACACGGACCATTTTCTCAATCACGTCCGATATGCCAATTTCGAAGATGCTGTAACAGTGACCAAAAACATCGCGATGTCTCTTGGTTTCTTTCTAACTAAGGGATCGATGAAGCCACGTGAGTTGAGCAACAAAAGAGTATTGGGTATCTGTTATATGTATTGCGACAGATGCAGTAGGGAGAGGAAGTCATACAAGCCGGGTCCTTCCAAGGAGAGTCGTGGCAATACAAGTTCAAAAGGAGCGGGATGCATGTTCAAGATTAAAATCAAAGAACTACTGGTTAATCCAGATGCTCTTGATGGACCTTCATTCTGGGAGATACAAGGAGTGACGGAGCAAGGAACCGGTTTAAGGCGAGGGTATCACAGTCATGAGAAGATGCTTTATCCCGAGGACCACAGTCAAATGAATAAATTGAGTCAGGAGGATAAAGAATCTCTGAGGCAGATGAGAGATGCTGGGGTACCTCCGTCGCAACAGAAGGAGACAATAAACAAGCAGAAGGGTGACAAAGGGCATCACACCCAAAGGCAGATGTATAACCTCGGGTCCAAGTCTAGGAAAGACGAGATGGGCGAGATGAATGCAGTGCAGTATGCGTTGCTAGCAGCTGAACGTGAGAATTATCATACAGAGGTTATGAAGGACGATGACGACGTGCTGACACATCTATTTTTTGCCCATCCAACTTCCATCCAGATGTTGAAGGCTTGGGCGTACGTGATTCTGATCGACTCAACGTATAAGACCAATGCATATAAATGGTCGTGGGTGGAGGTCGTAGGTGCTACTCCAGTTGGGAAGAATTTCAACATCTGTTGTGCTCTCATGAAGGATGATACAAAAGAGTCGTATCTGTGGCTGTTGCAGTGCATACAACAATTGCTCCATCCACGCGTGCCCACTGTCATCGTCACCGACCACGAAGGTGGACTACTTGCTACGGTTCCTGTGGTCTTCCCCCGCACCCCGCATTTGCTATGTGTTTGGCACATCAACACCAATGTGCAGAAGAAGTGTTTGGAAATATTTGGGAAAGACAGGATGGATTTGGTCAACGAGGCGTACGACCAATATTGGTGTCCTATGCTTTATTCTTGGTCAGAGCAAGGTATGTTGGCCGCGTTTGGCCGCTTTAGGACAAGATGGGGCAATCAAGAACCACGTCTGTTGCAATACATACAGGGAGTGTGGTGGCAACATCGAGAAAAGTGGGTTGTTTGTCATACCAAAAATGTGTTTCATCTAGGAAGTACGAGCACAAACAGGGTTGAGTCGTCACATTCCGCTTTGAAAACTTTCCTCCACAACTCGCGGGGATCTATGGACACTGTATGGAAAGGAAACCACCGCTACATTACTAACCAACTCGGGGAGGTTAGGATGATGTTGGAAAACTCTAGACAGAAAACCCTTTCAGCATCCGGTGGTACACCATTCACATACTTGAGAAGGAAGGTCAGCATGCAGGCAATTATATTAATGAGGGAGGCTGAAGAAGAATTGGCTGCCCGCTTGGAAAAAAATGAGAACTCCCGATGTGCATGTCATTTCTCTGTGACACATGGCTTGAGGTGTGGATGTCAAGTTATGGATGGCAGAGCGCGAGACATAGAGATATATCCCGGTGATATTCATATATATTGGCGGACATTGTCATACGAGAATCCACCCAATGCTCAGGAGTACGTTCCCCAGGAGGAGGAGGCTAGATGCCACCTTCAGGAGTTGGTTGATGAGGATGTACGCAGAGGACCAGAGGCAACGAAAAAAGCAGAAAAGAACGTGTTTCGCGGTCTCCACCCGGCGGAGGACAACATTCACGAGCCAAAAGTGAACGAATTTAGAAAGGGACACCCAGCCAAAAAATCAACTGGAAGAACTAAAGGGTGGTGGGAAAAGATACTGCGAGGCAAGAAGAAAAGCATGAAAAAGAAGTCGGGAAGCACAACGTCGGGGTCTACAAAGTCGACCAGTACCAAGTCCGCGGGGACTCAGACAGACGAGTACCCGTCAGACGACCATGCAGCGGAGGAGTGTGATGATCCAGAAGAAAACAACAAATACAACTGTCCTGACACAGGTACAATTTAAATTTTTCATAAGTGTAGTTATTTATATTAATATTTTACATCGCATTTGTGCTGATTATCTATTTCCTTCACAGATATCCCTGGATCCAGCAGCCCCCATTCTGATTACGCACACATGGAACTGCTTCCTGTCTTCATTCGACCGCTTCTCATTGCCATCCACGACCCGGTGCCAGACGGTCATTGTGGGTTTCGTGCACTTAGTTTTGCACTATATGGTAATCAAGAAGGCTTCCCAGAGGTGAGGCGACGACTTGCTGAAGAAATGCGTGAGCACGATTGGCGATACGACGGTGTTGATATCAATGACGCAATCAGACGCATTGACATCACTACTACAGCACCAACGACTCAACATCATTGGATGATGGGTGTGGATCTATTCGTATTTGCCACACTATTTAATTTGGTTGTTGTCATGTACAGCTCTTACCTCTACCCAACTCCATGTGCGTACTACTCTACCATTC